AGACACACAGTCTCCTCACCCTATGTGCGCACGCGTACGCATCCATACGGTGACTACAACACAGTTAGCAGTGTGATATCCAAGGGGCATTCGAGTTGACGTGGTTGGCACTCGAGCTTGGTTCATGCTGTGCGGAACTCTACTCTAATAATATGCAATTTTTAACTGGTGGTTTTATTCGCAGTAGTGAAATTGATAATTCCAGTTGAGTCGTTTGGAGGTCTAACTATTTGGTTTACAAGAATTCCTGATGCACCTGTATACACATATCTCTACAACAACATCTATCTTAACGGACATCGCCAGCATAGAAAGTCTTTTTATGATCAAAAGCAATGAGTCAAAAACTGTTATATCTTCCAGACCGGATGACTCCACTTCATATATTTCCAAAACACTGGTTCAGGTGGACTGACCTATTACTGTGCCCATAATCGCGCCGCTAATGAAAATAGAGACTGATCCGTCCTATGTGGAAACGCGGCAGGGACAGCTGGGCTCAGAATTCCCGTTGTTCTTTCCGTATATAAGGAAGAAGAAGAGTGTGTGCGCTGTGTAGAATGTTTTTCGATCGATGAGGAAGCATCAGAATATATAGTCATAAAGTCAAGACAGTTCATAATTGTGTGCGCTGCAGGCTATTTTACTACTCGGTCGCCCGGTGCAGAGTAGGCCTTGTTCGAAGATGCACTCCAGACTTTGCGCAGCCAAGCGCGGACTGCAGGGTAGCATTAATGTTCCAGATGGGCTGGTGGCCAGTTTTCGGTTCATTCGCCTCTTCTGGAAAACCTTATCGAGCAATGGATCTCGACAAGGAGGAATGACCATATTTAGTGGTGTGCCACACTCGCCGCGTCCCAGCGCTGTCCACAGATATTTGTGGTGTTTTGTGCAGCGAACCCTTGCCAGGAGATAAACCCACCACATCCTCGAATACTGCCGCTGATTATCCGCGACCGCTTATTCGGAGGGCCGAAGCCTACCTTATTCACGGTTAGCCGCGAGAAGATGGCTGTTCCCCTATCCGTGACCTGGGGACGCGCTCGGTAGCATACAGCTCTACTCTCCCATATACAAGGAAGGGAACAGGAATGGAGTACCTGAGAAGTATGTGTCGATCCACAAAGGGTTGTATCCTCATACATCAGGCCGGGTTAGGGCCTAAGGCCAACTTTCGCCACCCTTCGCCGTCTCCAGTGGAGTTAAACAAAGCTGCCCTATATCCCCATTCCTTTTCAACTTTGTCATGGAGGATGTTCTATGGAATGCTTTGTCCGGTCGAGAGAACGGCCAAGTCAAACTCCTCCCTGGGAACAGAGTTCTTGACTTGGAATATACCGATGAAATCGTCTTGTTGGGTGACAATGCACAGGCAGTCCAAGAGGCTTTGAACCTCTTGGAGATCGAGGTATCCAGGTATGGTATGTGCTTTGCACCGTCTAAATGCAAAGTGTTTGTTCAAGATTAGCAGGAGCCTGTACCTGCCTTCACCCTCTGTGGTGACCTGCTAGAAGTAGTTGAGAGCTTTAAGTACCTCAGGAGCTTGATCGCAGCTGGTGCTGGTGTTGGGGAGAAGATCTCATCACGAAAAGCGAAGGCTAGAGCAGCTTTCACCAACCTGCGATACCTGTGATGCCGCCATGGCATCTCCCTTAAGGGATGGGTGTGCACCACCGCGGTTCGTGGCGTTCTCCGTCACGGTTGCGAGGCCTGGCCCCCCAGCGTTGAAGATGCTAATCGACTTTCTGTATTTGATCTTCGATGTCTCTGAAGCATAGCTCGTGTATGGTGGGAACATCGGGTGAGCAATGACGAGGTTCGTCGTCGTGTATTGGGTGCGGNGCGGATAGTCGTTCTCTAACAGAAGTAATCGCTCTACACCGCCTCCGATGGCTTGGTCACGTATTGCGTATGCCTGCCCATGGACTACCTTTTCGTGCTCTCTTTGCACGTACCGGGCAAGGCTGGAAGAAGCGAAGCGGCGGTCAAACCATGACATGGCGTAGAGGTATAAAGAAGCTAGCTTCAGTTTTGGCTTCGGTTGGTGCAACCGGCCTTCCAGGTTGGGGCCCAAGGGATGAGGACTGTCGTTGGTTATAGACGCCCAGAATAGAAGTCAGTGACGCGAATGCTGTACGGTCCGCCTCTTGAGGTTCCGTGCCCCATAAAAACGATAAAATAGCACACAAAAATATCAACAAGTGTACGGTGAAACAAAAAATTGTTATCCCATTTATTTGCAATTTTCCATTTTAACAGTTTCGCCTTTTCACGATGTTCTGTATCACAAACCCTCCAACCCGTCATTTTTTGTTATTATTGTTGTGGCGTTGGTACCATGCTTGTCTACAAGCATATATATATATACAAAAACAACAATCAACACCGTTGTTTACAAAACTGTCATATATATATATATATATGTATATATTCACACGTATTATCGTTTGACAACGANACGAGTCCTAGTCTGGATCGAAACGTCACAATAAATACTATCACTTAGTGCTCGCCTTCTCCTTTTCAAAATAAATATATCAAGTAGCATGTGCCCCATCCGGATCTTCTTTTGTTTCCTCCATGATAGCATACATCAAACGTTTTTCTTTCGTTTCCAGTTTGATTTATATGAAATGTGATATGCCACTTGCCTGTCTGAAGTCCTCCTTGCAACAGTGCTTCATTGAGAAGTTGTTGAATATGATTGACTAACCGGAGTGGAACGTCTTTTTAGAGCCAAAGATGGGAAAGTTTACCCTTGAACTCATCGATAAAATTATGAAAACCACTCAACACCGTGGTTGGATGAGCCTTTTGCTAGAAAAATAAGGGCCTAGGGTCAAAATGCATTAGAAAGGGAATAGAATCGAGTGTTGACTTTAGCTTGTTCAAATCCTCGTTACATTTGCGAACCTGTGCCACTCGTTATCATTCTCTAAGTGAAAATTTACGGAACCTTGAATATTGTGCAAAGATGGAAAAAGTGCACTGTAATAGCTCACTATTAAGATCCTTGGATGGTTGAATGTCTCGCCCGACACTGAGGTTCGCTGGGACGGGTCACTGATTGCTAGCATCCGAGATAAATCCCAGGTAGAAGATCGACTCAAACCGCATTAACACTGCTTAGATCGAAGTTAGAAACCACAATATTTGGTACGCTCGAATAGTTTGATAAGGTTCTCTCGAAGCTCGTCAAGCCTGAATCTTATGGGAATAATGCCACCTGAAATATACCACAGTGCTAGAAGATCTGTTATCATAATACTCATTATTTTTTGAAAGATCCTCGGGGCTGTCTTTACGCCAAATGGTAACTTGGTGAACTGAAAGAGGTCACGGTGAGTGCTTATGGTTAGTAGATCTCGAGACTCTGGTGCGGGTTCAACTTGAAGGCGACCTTCGACGAGATCAACATTCGTGAAAATCTTCCCACCCGTCCTTCATTGCAAGCCAACTTGTCCCAATATCATATGAAGATGTCCTCGGATTATTGCAAGCTGTTGCATTGACCTCACCGGTGCTGACGAGCCTCCCAACGATGTCGGGATGACTACCATGCAACACCGACTTCTCTACCTCCCGTTGAAATGCGTGGGACGATTGGTCACACACACAACTCAATTCCCATGAAATTCATATCGGTTGTTTATCTTGCTAGTCTGTGTATGCCTCTGTGTGTTTCCCCCTCCGCTGACACCAATGAATCATGCGCGATCAACGCTTGAGCCATTGCTTACTGCTATTGCGCGATGCTGCAATAGAATTCATAAGCTACACCTCAAGCGGCTGCACTGGGACACCAATAGATCATGCTCGGTCGATATCCACATCAGTATTGACCAGATTCACATCCAGTTTGTTAGATACTTTCAGGTCATAATCCATCCCTGTAACACCACCACAGGAGCACCTTCAAGCATTGGACAATCAAAATGACCACTATGACCATATTTTCGGAACGAAATGAGCTATCTCTATGAAAGTAATTGCAATAGAAATAACGTAACGAGGGCTGTCGAAAGGTGCCATAATCTTCATGAGAGTTAAGGGATTTTATGGGAAAATACAAGTTTGAAAATTGGATTGTTTCCAAAATGCACTTTGCGGATTATGGGCTCTGAATTCGATAATCGTTATCACTGAAATCATATAGTATTACTTAAACACCTCAATCACACAAAGTAAACCGGGTGAACTTAGGTTAACGTACGACATTCACAAGCAGTAAGTACAAACTGTCTTCGAACAGTCCTATTGCAATTGTCGCATTTCTCGATTCAATTTCACCATGGGAACACCACCGTGGTCGTTCTTAGGATAAGGATTACCGAAGCTACCACCAATCAGAAATTGTGAAAATTTTCTATAAGTTAGCAAGTATTAGGAGATCAGAACACCTTTCGGTTATCATAGCTAAACCACAATGCGGTATTTTAGGGTTCTTACAATCAATCCAGGGGAAACGATGGAGGTACAGTATCAGTTAATGAGTGTCACACATTGGTAAACAAAGGATGAAACAACCCATGTACCTGACGTAATATTACCTAGGCTCACGGATCTGAAAAGGGGAAAGACATTTTCCGGCGCAACGTTTTATGATGCAGGTCCAAAGGAGAGAAGATTTTCGGACTGATCTCGATGTCTTGGATAAGCATGCAGGCTACCAGAGATGTGGTCCGAAGCAAAGTTCAGTTCTAGGTTAGTCAAGTGATCGTTGATGGAAGGCATCTGGAATTTACGGTAGGATGGAGGCGATTGTCTGGATAGTTGCTAATAGGCTTCCATCTTAACAGACATCATCAGGCAATAAAACACATATGCATTCAAAAGAAACGATATTATTTTGAAAGCGCTGCTGCTATCCAGATTTGAAGAGTTACTTTTCACAGTTTACCGTCTCAGCACCAAAAGCATGCACACAATTGCATGGCTAACCTGAATGATCTGAAGGTAGAGTCGTCACTTGGCGCACCCATTATCGCATTCCGTGGTACGAGAAACGAGCCCATATACAACAACTTTTCTGTCAATTCCAAACTGGGGAGATGCTCTGTCATCAAGTGGCGTTGATAGACCCCGGCCATTGTCCGAATTATATCACCGGTATTCACCGTCGGCGGGCGGAATTCCACCTCGCACAAAGCGCAGTGTGTGACACCGCGGTCGGCTCCGTGNCGTGACTTGCGGCCAGGTGCAACTGTAGCTGCGTCGGAGTGTCGTAGACGGTCCCATGACACAAAAGACAAACAAACGGACTGCCACTTAAGTTCATGTATTGTATTTCTTTCTCGATAAATTGTTCCATCTAAGTGAAGGAAAAGATCGAACATGATACAGTTAGTTTCTGAGAGTGATAAAGAAATCAGTCAGTTAGATAGGTTTAGCGGAAATGTTTGTGATATCATCAACAGTGCCTGGTGTTTGTGAAAAACCGAATGGGCTAATCCAAACATTAAATATCTAGATAGGTTAAGCCTATAAATGTACCTCAATATCCATCTTCACAGTTGAAACGCCAAACTTATCATGTATTGCGAAAACGATTATTAACTATGTATACGTGGTGGGAGATGGAAAAAAGGTTTTGAATATGGCTACTCATCATTCAGACTACACCTTCATTTTCAAACCTAATACAATCAACCATCTATATCTTTTCAGCTTAAAATTAATCCGTTGTAACTTAAAGTGAATCCAACGAATCGCACACCAGGGGAACCCTACAAGGTGATTGGTGTTTCGGCCGTCAAACGTCACCGATTGGATCAGGTCTGTCTAAACCCTGTCCCGTCCGAATGAACTCACTTCAGCGTAACAAACAATAGTAAATTTTTAGTGAGTTAACGAGCTAGGGTGAAAGTTTTCGTGGGGTGGGGTAGGCTGTTGGTATT